TTCGCTTAATAAAATTAAGGAAGAGATGAATGATTACAAGGTGGTAACAGAGATTGGGGACATTGGAACTCCTTGAAACTCAAGTTGAATCACTTATATAAAATGGAGGAAATTTTTTGGCTCCAGAAGTCTAGGGTGCAGTGGTTCAAAGAGGGTGATAAAAACTCAAAATTCTTCCACTCCTTCACTCCTCAACGAAGAAAACGGAATTCCATCAATAAGCTTATTTCTCAGGACAATAGAATCATCGAGAGACAAGATGGCATCACTACAGAGATTTCCAATTTCTTCAGCAACCCCTTCTCCTCTGAAGGTATTGGGACAAATCTTAGTCTGCTAGGGGATATTCCTCAAACAATCACCATTGAATTGAATTCAAACCTCATTTCCCCTGCAACTGACTGTGAAATCCAAACTACCTTATTTGCTATGAATGCCAACAAAGGCCCAGGACCTGATGGAATGTCCCCATTATTCTTTCAACAATTTTGGGACATTATCAAATCTGACATGTGCCTTGCAGTTAGGCATGTCTTTAATTCTGGAAAGCTGCCAAAATGTACCACTCACACCCTTGTGTCTCAAATCCCCAAAGTCCAAATCCCTATCTCTGTTGGCCAATACCGACCTATTAGCCTTTGCAATGTCCTGTACAAAGTTATATCAAAAGTGTTAGCCAACAGATTGAAACCTTACCTTCCTTCATCCATCAGTGGTAACCAGGCTGCCTTTCTCTCAGATAGGTACATTCTTGATAATGTTGTTGTTGCTCAAGAAGCTTTCTATTTCCTTAAGAGACATAGAACATGAAAATAGTGTGTCATGGCTATTAAACTAGATATGGCCAAAGATTTTGATAGGGTGGAGTGAGGAGGTCTTAAACTTATCATGTTGAAAATGGGCTTCGCTCATATCTTTGTGCAAAGAATTCTTACTTGTTTATCTTCTGTTTCTTTTTCCTTTAACATTAACAGTTCAACAAATGATTATGTTTTGCCCTCTAAAGGAATAAGACAAGGGGATCCCATATCTCTTTGTTTGTTCCTCTATGGAGAAAAAAATTTGTGGTCTCAAAATCAGTTTTAAAGGCCCTATTATTTCCCACCTTCTTTTTGCCGACGACTCTTTTTTATACTGTGAAGCCTCAGGAAACCAAGCTTTACTAATTCTTGATATCCTTATTAATTATAAGTCCTTAACTGGTTAAGGTGTTAATATTGACAAATCCTCAATTTTCTTTAGTAAAAACACTCCCAGTCAAATCCAATCTGGCATTTGCCAAATTTTCTAGGGAATGCAAGTTCATTAATCTTGTAAATATTTAGGCCTTTCTTTGATTATTGGTAAATCCAAAAGAGAAGTTTTTCAATTTGTTTTGGACAAAATTTCTAAAAAGCTTGAAAATTGGAAGAACAAGTTTCTATCAAATGCAGGTAAAGAGGTTCTCATCAAGGCTGTTATTGATTCAATTCAGTTTATGTGATGCCATGCTTCAAGCTTCCGGTGGAACTTTGCCTCAAAATTAGCCAACTTGCAGCCTCCTTTTGGTGGGGGGAAACATGACTCTGGCCAACAAAAACTGCATTAGAAAAGATGGGACCTCCTGACTTTACCAATAAAGGCCGGTGGCTTAGGTTTCCATGATATCGAAGCCTTCAACAATGCCCTTCTTTGCTAGCAGCTCTGGAGACTTATCACTCATCCCAACCTTCTCATGAGCAAGGTACTTAAAGCAAAATACTTTGCAAAATAAAGTTTTTTCGGATGCAAAATAAAAAAGACAATGCTTCTTGGTTGTGGAATAGTTGGCTGAACAATAGAAATTTTCTAAAGCTGGGGCTGAGAATGCAAATTGGTTTGAATACAAGAATTTGGCTTGATCCATGGATACCTAATACACTAAAATTTATGCCTGGATCACCCAAACCTGATGCTCCTCACTGTGTGATGGTGAAAGAGCTGATTGAAACAAATGAAAATAGCTGGAACTAGAATCTACTCAAGCAAATATTCTATGATGGACTACAATCTGATTGAAACAAATGGAAATAGGCTGCAAGTGACTTTTATTTTATTACCTTCTGCTCGGCCTGTTCATTCAGCTTGAATTAAAGTTCTTGTATTGAATTTGGCCTCGTTGCCCCTCTTGCCGCGGTTCCTCTTCGTCGGATGGCCGATCTGTAAATTTAGCTCGGCTCGTTGAGTGCGAATCGTCTTACATTTTCTCTTTTGGATCTGTTTTTTTAACTCAAGAGTCAACAGACACTTATTTGGAAACTAATATAATATAATTTATTATAAAATGTACGAGTCGTTTAATTATTTTAAATAAACATGTGTTTATGTAATGTTGTCCAATTTAAATTTTATATAATACTTTAAGGGTCACGCTCCGGTGAGAATGACTCTTAATGCGAGAAATGAGAATAATTCGTAGTCCTTAGATCATCTGATCTAATGGCTTAAAAAAAGTCAAAATTATACACTCATTAAGGGCAATGTAGTAATTAGCACAACACACCTCTATTCCATATTAAATAACCCAACCACTCTCAAACACACCAACACACACCACACACATCAATACGCACGCACACCAACACACACCCACACACATAGTCAGCCACCATCTTCACCACCGGCGCCGTCGCCCTGCCACCATCTCCGTCCGCCGGAATCCCCACAGAGCAGCACTCACCGCCGCCATCTACACACACAGACACACTAACACACACACACACACACACACACACACACACACACACACACACTCACAAATACGACGCCCATACACAGACACCGCCGGTCATCAGCGCCACCCGCCGATTGCCGCCGCTAGCCGACGTTCGCTGCCGCTGGAAGCCGCCGAAATCCGCCACTGTAGGACCCAACGGACATGGCTTCACAAGATCTAAGCAGATCGGCCGGCTCCTCAGCACCATCCACCAGGGCCGCCCATGACCGCCATCTATCCCGCCGCTCGACGTCGCTCGCAGCCGCCGGAATCCGCCATTAATCCTTCGAACGGACATGGCTTCACTAAATAAGAGCAGATCGACCGGCTCTTCAGCGCCACCAACGACCGCCGTCAATCTGCCGCTCTCTACCACCTCGTCATGCCGCCGGGCAAGATGGCCGATGTGCAATGTCCAATGACGGGATGAAGAATGAATTTGGATTGTGGGGTCTTTTCTTTGAGAATTTGATAATTTCAAAGGATCCAATTGCAATTTCAATATTTTTACTAAAGTTCAATTTAGTCCTTGGGTCTAATATGAAATTTATGAAAATATATATAAACAATATGTTCTTTGAAACATCTAATCTTCAGGGGGATTTTTTTGAACATTTTTTTATGCAAATATACATATTGTTCATTTTCAACAAAAATACATATAAAAATATTAAATAAAAATATTAAAATACTAGATATATGTTATAATATAATAATAAATTAATTAAATTATTTAGGTTAATTTCATTTATGTTCTTAACCAAAAATACTATAAAGTGGTAAATAAAAAAACGTAGTGCACTTTATAAAAAAAAATGGTGCACTGTATAAGATAACATGTTGCACTTTATAACACGACACATTGCACTTTTTATAACGACACGTTGCATTTTATAAAACAACAAGCTACATTTTTATCACCAAACCCAACAATTAACGTTAATAATTTCTGCCAAAATACCATACAACATAAATTTAAAAAATGTATCTACATAATATTTTAACATCCACCACATCATTTGTCCACATAAAACACAAGCACGCTAATATACCAAAATTATGGTAGTGCACTTTATACATCAATACGTTGCATTTTATAAAATAATACGTTGCACTTTATCAAATAGCATGAAAACAAGAATTTTGAATTTGTTTAGAGTATTTTCAAACAAAAATAATATAAAATGTTAAATAAACACATTAACATATATAATATATTATTTTCAACAAAAAAATATCAAATATATTTTTATATATAAATAATAAATTATTTTAATTATTTTAATAATAAATTCAAATTAGGGATTTGAATTTATTAAAATACGTTGCACTTTATAAAACAATACGTTGCACTTTAGAAAATAACACGTTGCACTTTATAACGACTATCAGATTGCACAATATAGAGCGAAACCGACTGAAATAAAAAAATTCAGCCAAAAATAATATGAAAATAATAAATAAAATTATTAACATAAATATAATTTTAATATAATAGTATAATTCCATTAACCGAACCGAATAAATCAAATAATTATGTTCATTTTCATTTTAATTTGGGACAAGAGATCGGTTGGTTCAATCTGCACAATACAGACCAAACCTGTGCACCATAGTGATGTACGAATTGCACCTTAATAATTATTAGATTGCACAGTATATTTCGTTTACATATATACAATTTTTTTAATTAAAAGATAATAAAAATAATATTAAATACTAATCATTTTTTTTACAATAAATAATATAATTTATATTGGTTATTTCGATTATTTATGTTAACTGAAAAATTAAACCGATGATGTCGAAACCAAAATTTCATTTCGAATTTTAAAATTTCGGTTCAATTATCATTTTTTACATTAAAAAACTCGATTATGTCTGTTGTTTTTGACGGTTTCTTTGATTTTATTTAGATAACAACAAAACTCTATTATTATTATTATGTAAAAATATTATTATTTTTTTACTGTGCATCTTCCCAACCAATATTGTGCATTTTATTCATAAATATTGTGCATTTATTTAACTTTCATTATATCACATATTGGCCCTATGTACTAAATTGTAAATATATTAAAAGTTAAAAAATTGCATACAAGTCCCCTTACCATGTCTAATTTCCAAAAATATGACCCAATCCAAGATCTGTAAATCCATCCCCGCACCTGATATTCATCACCGTCATCGCCGCCGCACGCCGCCGCCTCGACGGCGGCTCTCGACTCCATCAATCTCTCCGTAGACCACTGTGTAGATGCTCCAGTTCACCATGTCCGACCCCAATTCCGACACGGCGACACCATCTCCGGCTGCAATTGTCGATCTCGTCGCCGTTCAAAGACTGCTCATCGTCTCCGCATAATAATCGTCCACAGCGTCCTCGACCCGCCCCTGCGGCCGTGGAGCTCCCAGAACACGGCAAAGAGACCACCGCTGAACAGTGGTTTCGAACAACTGTCCGCCGGACCTCGAAATTTGAACACGGACATGTTGCGATGACGGAGGCGGCCAATTTCGTGATTATTCAGACGGCAACGGGGCATTCAACGGTCAGATTCATGGAGATTCCGGCGGCTACGGGAAGTGCGCGCGTGTGTGCGTGTGTGTGTGAACTGTGTGTGCTCGCGTGTGGTCTCTGTGAACGGCGGGCGATGGCGGTTGAACGGCTGCCGGAGATGGCAGAGACGCGGCGGAGCTGTGTAATATGTGTGTGTGGGTGATGGAGAAGATGAATGAGGGGTAGGTGTGGTGTCCGTAATTTATGTTGATATTAATCATTAATATGTAGTGGTAGGTCCCACAATCTTGTTGGATTTGAATTAAATGTCCAAACTACCCTTAATTATTAGTTAAATACATATATTTGACCACAATATGATCAAAACTACAAGATTGTCATTAATGATTCACCATAATTTGATTTCATCATAACCATTAACTAGTACAGAGCCCGTGCGATGCACGGGATGTACATTTTTAAGGCTATTTATCTAGGCTTATAATTATATACATGAATAAAGAAAGATGTACGGAATATATATAGTACGTGACCCGTGCAAAGCACGAGATATATTTACTTAGAGAATATTATATTATAAGATGCAATATTCAATAAAAGTTTATAATACGCAAGAAAATTATACAATGTTCAATAAAAGTTATATAATATTCAAATGGAGTCTTAAAGTCTCTTGTACATTAAGACTACTGACAAAATAATATTTTAATCAATGAGTTTCCTTTTCTTGTAGCCAAATTGTGAATGTGATTTGAGGAGTACAACAAATCGATATATAGCTGACTTGCTTTTTTCATTGTAGTTTTTTTTTTTTTTTTATATAATGAATTTAAAGATATTCTAAAATATAGCAAAAATTAATTTTTTTATTACAATAAGGAATTTTACTAAATATAAACTCTCAATCTATGGTGTTAATCAACGTTTAAGTCTAAAAAATTAGAAATTTTTACCTCTTTTAATCAACGTTTAAGTTTAAAAAACAATAGAGTTATTCTAAGTTTTTTTTTCTACATCTTTTAAGACATTAAATATGAGCATGTTAGGGCTAGCTTGTAAAATAATTAATATATTATCTCACTAAAACATTTATACTAATAAAAATTTAATTTTAGCATATAAATTTATCCCTTGATATAAGAGAAAGTAACAGTTTTACTTATTGTTGTTCACCATATAATATTTAATTATTATTTTATTATATAATAAAAAAAAAATATTGTTAAATAGTGTAGTAGAATTGTTATAAAATTATATGATTTTTTTTTATTTAACAATATGGATTTAATATTTTTTTATGATTTGATAATATAAACAAATCTATACTTAACTTTGACAAATAAAACAAATAAATACTTTAGTAAGTATTTAATGTATATACTAAATAGGAATATATTTGGTATAATCAAATACCAAATATAATCAAATAAGTCAAAGTGTACATTTTTATTTGGTATTTGATTTTTTTATTATTAAAATCTTTTTATTATACTTACCTTTTTAAAATAAAACAAATAAATAAAACAATTAAATAAATAAAACATTATAATACCAAAATAGTAATGACATTTAATGCAGTTGACTTTTCTGGATAGTAAATATAGTATATAGAATCTCTTTTTCTATAAGTATAGATTGTATAATACGGAAATAGTAATGCAATAAATGTTGTTGACTTTTTTTTTATATTAAATCTGGTAAATGATATACCTTTTAATATAAGTATAGATATATTTTAATTAACTGTCACGTGGTGAGTATAATAATAATAATAATATATAATTTATTTAATCAACTGATTACGTGCATACTATAATAATAATAGTAATAAACAATTGATAGCACACGTTTTGAAAGTTAAAGGCAATCAATCAATTCACATGAATTATAGGTGAGATTAATGAAAGGTGAGATAATATCCGTTCATTTATATAATCTAGTGTGAAAAGGACATAAAGAAAAAGTGTGAAAAGGACATAAAAGTTACTAATTTTAGTAAACATTTAATGCAGACAAGATGTTGACTAAGAATTGACCTACTATTTTTGAAAAAGGTTAATTCTTATTATATAAGTATAGATATGCTTGATCCCAAAATACAAACTTACTCTCATCTCTCACGTCAAAAGTCATTCTTATACCATCCTTTCTCATATTTTTAATACTAGTCATTAGAGTAATAGGGTTTGGCTTTATCCACACGAATTTTGCCCAACTGAACCCAAAACGAGCACAGAGGGCTAGCAATGGCAAGGCATCGCAGCAGCCGCAGCCGCAGCCGCAGCCGCAGCCGCAGCCCCGTCAGGAAAAAGCGTTACGACGACCCCCGCGATAGGCGCCATGAACGGCTCTCGCCGGTTCCCACCGGCCTCCTCGTTCGAAACATTTCTCTTAGCGCCAGGTCTTTTTATTTATTTGTTCCATTCTTATTTTCCTAACTCCTGCCCCCACTTTTGGCTTAAGTTTGTCTATTTACCGCTTTTCTGCTGGTGAGTTACTTCTCTGTGTAGAATTTGGAATTCTCCGTTAAAATTCGATTGAAAAACTTGGNTATGGTATGAGTTTGGTCTAGAGTTGCGGAATGACATGAAAATATGGCCACTCAGACTGCAGATTTAGCGCAGCTGTCACTGGAAAATTGTTAGGGTTGCAATTTAAAGAAATGATTTATTATTATTATTATTATTATTATTATTAATGTTGTGTTATTTTATGAGATTTTCTTTGTATTCCAGTTAACTGTTCAATACTCCCTCTGTTTCGTTTTAAATGTCGTTGTAGGGTGTCAATTTTTTTGCAAATTAATTGTCGTTGGAAATATTATATTCATTCTTACATCTTTATTTTCTTTAACAAACATTATCTCTTATCATTATCTTTAAAAACCATCCATTAATAAATCAAAAACTAAATTTAATAAGATTAAAAAATAAGATTATTACACAACCCATTAAAATCATAATTTAGAAGTTTTAAATTAAAACGACATTTAATAAGAAACGGAGGGAGTATATAACTTTACGTACTCTCTTGTGTCCTGCTAGAAGAATCCTTTTCACTTTTTAGTGGTTTGTAGTTGCAAGTGCGTAATACTGTGGGGGTTAATGCTTAACATTCAGAATTTTCAGTGGTGAGTATAATAGGACTATGATGTCATTTTGTCTTAAAGATGGTCTATGTCTCAATTTCCTTAATTCTCTGTGTAATTGTACAGTATATAGTCATGAGGTAATGAAATTATAGAGAACTACGTGCGTCTTTCTGGATTTGTGGACAAAGTTTATTCTTGATGAATGGTGATACAACATAAATATAGCTATTAGCATATTGTTCCTGAAATGTTTCGTTGTCCTATGTATAAAGAAATACCGAATCATTGGAAAATTCTTGAATATATGAGTATGATGGGCATCTCTCTCTCTCTCTCTCTCTCTCTCTCTCTCACAAACACACACACACACACACACACACACCCACTCAACCATTGTAAGAATATATCTTGAGTTAGATTTTCCAAATTTAATTTTTTGGATTCTGCAGTGATTCTTGTTCTGTACTCCATCAATTGTATATGCATTCCAATATGTAGTTGTTATTGATCACAGTCATTCCTATTGTCTGGAGTAATGGTGTGTTGTCTGTAAACCCTTGCTTTGTAGTTTGTACATGTAACAATGCCATTTTTTTCAGATTTTTTCAGAATACCTAAATTAGCTGTGCTCATTCTATAAGTATTATAATAAGTACTCCCTTAGTCGTGGTTTGGATTTTTTTGTGGTAGTGAGTGCAAATATAGTTTATTGTGTCTGAAGTAGAAAAATGTGCACTAAGGCAATGCATACTTGTATGAGTCTTGAAATGGTTTCTATAAGTATTATAATAAGTACTCCCTTAGTCGTGGTTTGGATTTTTTTGTGGTAGTGAGTGCAAATATAGTTTTTTGTGTCTGAAGTAGAAAAATGTGCACTAAGGCAATGCATACTTGTATGAGTCTTGAAATGGTTAAAAGTTAAATTTGATACTATTAATGCTGCCTTTAGATTTCTGGTGTTGATAGTTGTGTCATGTAGTCTAAGATAATTTTGCTGTTTAGGCTTACAGATGTTGTATGTGCTCTTCATCTTTTGCGGATTCAAATTTTTACATACATTAAAGGAGCATCTTTTGTGTTTTCATACTTGCCATGCAGGCCAGAGGACCTTAGGGTTCCTTTTGAAAGATTTGGACCATTAAAGGATATATATTTGCCAAAAAACTACTATACAAGGTATGCTTGATTCACAGGAGCAGGAATGTTGCAAGCTCATTTCACGCTAGATGAAGTCATATTATAGTAGTTTCTTTTGCATGGCAGGGAACCACGTGGCTTTGGATTTGTCAAGTTCCGTTATCATGAAGATGCAGCTTTGGCAAAAAGCCACTTGGATCGTACGGTTATTGGTGGACGTGAAATAAGGATTGTATTTGCTGAGGAGAACAGGAAAACTCCTCAAGAAATGCGTAGGGTTTCACGTGTGAGGTTGCACATGCATCCGTTGACTTGCCCTTTAGTACACTGGATGCTTTAGTAGTTGTTGAGTCAGGTTTTACTCTTTCTTTGCAGTTCCCGCGGAAGCTACAGGAGAAGAAGCAGGTCATCTTCTCCCAGACGCCGATATCACTGTAAGTAGAAATATACCTTTTCATCTTGTTTGGCATTTCAAAACCTCAATTTTTTAGTAAAAAATGCCATCCATAGCTCTTAAGTTTTGTTTTTGGTTCTGATTTTGAAGCTTCTGCTTTTTAAGTGCATAAACAAAATCATATCCCCATAATATATCTTTTCCATGCTGAATGTGTACTCATATATTGCAGCTTATTCACGCTCACCTTCTCCAGCAAGACATGATTCAAGGTATGCTTTGTAGACGTTGGAAAAGTTTCTTCACTTTTGTATCTCCTTTTAGAAGTCGATTAATTTTTCTGCAGCTTAAAATCTTCTTATATCTTTGTTTGTTTACTTGAATACACAATTCTCATTTTCTAGACTTTAGATTTTCTCTGATAGTTGAATGCTGATGTAGTTGTCTAGCTATTGCCTATGATGTATTTATTAGTTACTCTATATCTTTGGTTAATGGCTACCCATTGGTTAGCTATTAATTGTTTGGCTATATTTTATTAGAAATCCGAGGATGCTATTGCATTTCCTACTAGTCCTTGTATAATTTAGTCAAGTATCTTTCCCTTTTTTTTTTGGCATGGTCTGAAAGTGAACATGAATGTCTTCTTTTGTAGTTACCTTGAGCTTGAATGAGCAAAGTGATTGATTTGAATTATACTTGTGAGTAATGATTTTGACAATAATGTTCTCTACTTTCAAAATTTAACGTTGATATACTTGCACTTACAAGTCATAGGTATATCTTGAAAGAATTTACGTACTTTTGTAGCCTTGTGTGCATTATAGATATGTAGATTTTTTTCGTGCATATGCATGCATGTAATAAATATTTTTTGTGTGTATATATATATATGCACAGACTTACACACACACACATGCACAGACTTACACATGCACACACACACACCTGTATATGTATATATATATATATGGTAAAATTCTACTAAAATCAAGTCCTGGTTTAAAACCGCGAGAACCATATATGATGTTATTTTCAATTGTGTATGATGGTATTCATATGGTGCTATAATATACAGAAATGCTATCTTATATATAATCATATGTGTCGTATTGCTGCTTTTTAAAATGAATCCTAATAAAAAACAGCACCAAACACAATTGAATATGGTACACAATTAAAATTAGCATTCTCACAGTTTCTTACACCAAGGTTTGGTTCTTCTTTGAACATCCTATACACACCACACACACTTTGGGATAACTGATTGGCACGAGCAGTCGCTTAGATGATGCAAAAAGTTTTTCTAGTTAAGTACTGAATGCTTAATATTACTCCTTATCTTTATTTTCTGAGACTGCCTATAGAATAGACTATTGTTCCTGGTGTTAGCTGGATAAATTTGTTCTTTCTGGAGTCCTGAAACATGAAGAATGATCTCTTCTTGCAAGCCTGGGTTATAGTGATGTAACAGCCTTGTCTGTGCAGATCTTAATGGACAGAGAGACATAAAGCATTCCAGAATAGTATGACAAATGAGAAAAAAGCATCCTAGAGTACTTGCTTTTTGTTTTGTGGAGGCAACTCCAGAAGTTTCTAATTCCAATTGTCACCATGAAAAACCTTCAAGTTCTGGGAATTATGTGTCTTACATTGGATGACCGACTTGGTATGATTTGTGAAATAATCACGAGGATACTGCATCTTTAACTTATCATTCTGCTTTGCATGTTAGTTTGATTTCCTACTGTTGCGTACTATCCAGTTAAAAGAATGAAAGAATCTAGAGGTTATATCTGGCCAAAGAAAGAAATCATCTTCAAAGTCAAAGAGCAAAGCCTTTCAAAGTTATTACTGTTTGAAGTGAAAAAGCCAAAGAAAAGATAGTAAAGAGATTTGTAATGTTGGGGGCACCAACAGCTTTGAAGTTTTCTGATGCTGGTGTACCTGTTCACTGCTGTAAAGCGTTATGCCCTTAAAGTATCTAGGTTGGCTCACAAAATTCTGAAAAAGAATTCAGGTAAACGTTCATGCATCGGTAATTAGGTATCTCGAGGGAGCTTCTCTTGTTTCATCATGCCTTTGTACTGTTCATTCCGTTTCTTGACTTAAAAGTGTTTTAAACTGAATATGGGGCCTCTATAATGTGTTTCTTCTTGGTTTATTTGTTTTATTTGAAAATTGCAGCAACTAATTACATTCTTTTGATGACCCTTTCTGTTTCGTAGAGATAGGAGACGTAAAGCAAGGGTTGATTACTACTCTCCACAGAGATCGAGATCTCTGTCGAGATCAGTTTCTCCTAGGGATGAGAAAAGGTATAGATCTCGTGAGAGGTCCCAAAGGCATTCCAGGTCTTTATCCCGTTCAGTTTCTCCACATGATGAGAAAAACCACAGGGTTCACGAGTCTCCAAGGAGGAAATCCAAAAGTCCAGCTAGAGCTCGTTCTTTATCCCACAGGTTCGTGGCAACTTAGAATGTGTTTGTTTTGGGAGATGTTATTAGAAGTTACTTGAATAATCGAATAATGGAGTCTTTTAAGTTGGATAAAATGTGACGATCGATAGCTTGGAGGTGTTGGTATGGTTGTCCAGTGATTATATTAGTAAAAGCTAAGGATGCTTGGATATAAGATAGTTTTGATTTTGATTGGATTTTTGGTTTGGTATGGTTAACTTTGAAAAAAAGTGGTCGGTGGGATTTTGAATATTTATTAAAATAATATTAAAGTTGTTTTGATGTAAAACTAGAAGAGAGATAATGTGAAGTGATGGTTAGTTAGAACTATGTGAGTAGATAAATAGTGAATTAAAGTTGATGTATTGTGTAAGAATGATTGAGTTGTATTATTTTATTATATTGATAATATTGAGGATAGTGGAGTTGAGTTAGATTTGAGTTAAAAAAAGTGATTGATTGAAAATGATTGGATTTTTTTTGAAAAAATTTGTATCCAAGCATCAATCTTTTAGTTGAAAAAAATAGATCTCCAATTTTTCAGGCTATAGAGTCCTGAATTGCTCTCATGCAAAGTTGAAGTCCT